GTGGAGTCATCTTGTTATGCTTCTAATAATAATAATAATAATAATAATAATAATAATACATCACACAGTCCTAGACACTTGGGAAGGTCCGACGTGTGATACAATACGACAGCAGAGTGATCTTGTCTGCTGTGGAGTCATCTTGTTATGCTTCTAATAATAATAATAATAATAATAATAATAATACATCACACAGTCCTAGACACTTGGGAAGGTCCGACGTGTGATACAATACGACAGCAGAGTGATCTTGTCTGCTGTGGAGTCATCTTGTTATGCTTCTAATAATAATAATAATAATAATAATAATAATAATACATCACACAGTCCTAGACACTTGGGAAGTGTCCGACATGTGATCCAATACAACAGCCAGCAGAGTGATCTTGTCTGCTGCGGACTCGTCTTGTGCTTCTAATAATAATAATAATTATTATTATTATTACTATTATTTACATCACATAGTCCTAGACACTTGGGAAGGGTCCGACATGTGATCCAATACAAAAGCCAGCAGAGTGATCTTCTCTGCTGTGGACCCGTCGTGTTTCTAATAATAATAATAATAATAATAATAATAATAATGTACATCACACAGTCCTAGACACTTGGGAAGGGTCTGATGTGTGATCCAGTACAATAGCCAGAAGAGTGATCTTGTCTGTTGTGGACTCATCTTGTTGTGCTTCAAATAATAAAATAATAATAATAATAATAATAATAATTTACATCACACAGCCCTAGACACTTGGGAAGGGTCTGACGTGTGATCCAGTACAATAGCTGGAAGAGTGATCTTGTCTGCTGTGGACTCATCTTGTTGTGCTTCAAATAATAATAATAATAATAATAATAATAAGAAGAAGAAGAAGAAGAAGAAGTTCTTTCCAGTAATTTACTTGGGCCACAGAGTTGTGCCTCTGTTTGTAGTCCGTCTGTGTGATTTTCTTGCAGCAGCTGAGGATATGATCCATGGTTTCCTCCGCTTCCTTGCACAGTCTGCATTTTGGGCCATCCGCTGATTTTTCAATCCTGGCCTTAATGGCCTTGGTTCTGATGGCTTGTTCCTGGGCTGCAAGAATCAGGCCTTCAGTCTCCTTCTTCAGGGTTCCATTCATGAGCCATCACCAGGTCTTCTCCTTGTCAACTTTTCCTTCAATCTTCTCAAGGAACTGCCCATGCAAGGCTTTGTTGTGCCAGCTGTCAGTTCTGATTTGGAGTGCAGTTTTCTTGTACTGACTCTTTGTCTGCTGTGCTTTGAGAAGTTTCCGATTATGGACTTCAATTAAAGCAAGTTCTCAGCTTTCCTTGACATATTCTGCCAGGGTGTGTACAAGAAAACTACACTCCAAACCAGAGCTGACAGCTGGCACAACACACTAATACACTCATAATGTATATATACACACGTATGTGTATACATATATGTGTGTATGTATATATAATACTGCCTATATAATCTATAACAGTGGTTCTCAACCTTCCTAATGCCATGATCCTTTAATCCAGTTCTTCATGTTGTGTTGACCCCCAACCATAACATTATTTTTTGTTGTTACGTCATAACTGTAATTTTGCTACTGTTATGGATCGTTATGTAAATATCTGATATGCTGGATGTATTTTCATTCACTGAACCAAATTTGGCACAAATATGCCCAAATTTGAATTCTGGTGGTGTTGGGGGAGACTGATTTTGTCATTTGGGAGTTGTGGTTGCTGGGATGTATAGTTCACCTACAATCAAAGAGCATTCTCAACTCCACCAACAATGAAATTGAACCAAACTTGGCACACAGAATTCCCATTACCAACAGAAAAGACTTGAAGGGCTTGGTGGACATTCACCTTGAGTTTTGGAATTGTAGTTCCTAGCTTGAGTCCAGAGACTCAAGCTAGGATGGATCTGGACCTAATTTGGCATGAATACTCAATATGCTCAAATGTGGACACTGGTGGACTTTGGGGAAAATAGACCTTGACATTTGGAATTGAATCAAACTTGGCACCCAGAACTCCCACGACCAACAGAAAATATTCTAAGGCTTTGGTGGGCATTGACCTTGAGTTTCGGAGTTGTAGTTCACCAATATCCAGAGAGCACTGTGGATCAAACAACGATGGATTTGGACCAAACTTGGCAAGAATACTCAATATGCCCAAATGTGAACATTGGTGGAGTTTAGGGAAAATAGACCTTGACATTTGGGAATTGTAGTTGCTGGGATTTATAGTTCACCTACAATCAAAGRGCATTTTGAACCCCACCAAGGGTAAAATTGGGCCAAACTTCCCACACAGAACCTCCATGACGGACAGAAAATTCTGTGTTTCCTGATGGTCTCTGACGACCCCCTCTCGACCCCCCCCCCCCGGGGTCCTGACTCCCAGGTTGAGAAATGCTGATCTATAATATGCTCTCATGTAATCTATATAATCTTGCAGTTTGTTAAGTCGCTCCTGACACGAAATAAAGCAAACTATTGATCAGATTTAACAGGATTTCCATACCTAAATAACATTTAAATGGGGAATGGCATCTGTAGTTCATTCATAATATCCCATCCCTTTACTACGACATGTATTTGGCTTTGCAATCCTTCATTGCAGTGGCTCTGAAAGGTGCAAGGTCCCCGTCTCGATCCCTCTGCTGGCCGATGAGGGGTTGGCCACTGTTTTCTCCAAGAAGCCCACCTAAATGCTAATGGCCTCGGAGCAGCTGCTGGCGAGAAAAAGCAAATCCCGGTGCAAAGGGACATCAAAATGCACCCATTGTGTGCCCAAACCCCAACGCGTAAAGAACAAAGTCCCGGAAGAAATCAAGAGCATAACTCATTTGCGCAGACATCTGCCAAGCGTGGCCATCTGGAGTCACGTTACGGGAGAAGGATGGCCTGGCCACACAGCAGCTGCCGGGCGGGCGCCTCGGAATTGGAGGGGCCCTGTGCCCACAACAATGGGGCTTGGCCTGCTTTTGGGCACTTTGCAAACTCCTCTGCAGCTGTAGAAGGCGCCCTTTGGCAAAACCCACACCTCCTTGCCTTATTTTTCCATAACATTCGCTTACCTGCTGCTTTGGGGTCATCTTCCTAGGGTGTGTCTACACCGTAGAACGAGTGCAGTTTGACACTACTTTAATACCCTGGGATTTGTCATTTGTAGAGGCAGAGGCGGTGAGATGCGTTGTTGAATTTCAACGGAAACCATGAAAATGATTCCCCCAGGCAGGAAGCAGCTAAGCTTTCAAGCTGCAAGGCTAATCAGTGCTAATAGTAATAATAATAGAGATATATAAGCTGGATTACATATCACAAAATCAAAAGTCGAACACTTCCCAAGTGTATTAATAATAATAATAATAATTAATAATAATATAATAACAAATATTTAATAATAGTAATAGTAATAATAGTAGTAATAATAATATATGCTGGATTTCATATCACAAGTCGAACACTTCCCAAGCGTATTATTATTATTATTAATAATAATATTTAATAATATTATAATAATAACAAATAATAATAATAGTAATAATAATAATAATAATAATAATAGAGATATATATACTGGATTTCATATCACAAAATCACAAGTCGAACACTTCCCAAGCTTATTATTATTATTATTATTAATAATAATAATAATAATAAATATTTAATAATATTATAATAATAACAAATAATAATAATAGTAATAATAGTAGTAATAATAATAGAGATATATATGCTGGATTTCATATCACAAGTCGGACACTTCCCAAGCGTATTATTATTATTAATAATAATAATAATTTAATAATATAGTAATAACAAATATTTAATTATTATTATAATAGTAATAATAGTAATAATAATAGAGATATATATGCTGGATTTCATATCACAAGTCGAACACTTCCAAGGCGTATTATTATTATTACTACTACTACTACTACTAATAATAATAATAATTAATAATTAATATTATAATAATAATAATAACATATTTAATTATTATAGTAATAGTAGTAGTAGTAATAATAGAGATATGTATGTTGGATTTCATATCACAAAATCACAAGTCGAACACTGCCCAAGCATATTATTATTATTATCATCAATAATAATTAATATTTAATATTATAATAATAACAAACATTTAATTATTATAATAATAGTAATAATACTAGTAGTAATAATAATAGAGATATGTATGCTGGATTTCATATCACAAAATCACAATTTGAACACTTCCCAAGCATATTATTATTAATAATAATAATATTTAATAATAATATTATAATAGCAAATATTTAATAATATTATAATTGTAATTTTATATTGCTATGTTGTCTTTTGTTTTATGTAATTGCGTTATTATTGTTTATTACTTGCGTTTTCGGTTTTGTTTTATTTCATGTAATTGTTGTTTTGGGCTTGGCCTCATGTAAGCCACACCGAGTCCCCATCGGGGAGATGGAGCGGGGTACAAATAAAGTTTATTATTATTAGGTTCTTGTGGGTTTTTTTGGGCTATAGGGCCATGTTCTAGAGGCATTTCTCCTGACATTTCGCCTGCATCTATGGCAAGCATCCTCAGAGTAAGGAGTATCCCCTCACTACCTCTGAGGATGCTTGCCATAGATGCAGGCGAAACGTCAGGAGAAATGCCTCTAGAACATGGCCCTATAGCCCGAAAAAAACCCACAAGAACCTAGTGATTACAGCCCTGAAAGCCTTCGACAATAAATTTATTATTATTATTATTATTATTAATAATAATAATAATAATAATAAATATTTAATAATAATAATATAATAATAACAAATATTTAATTATAATAATAATGGTAATAATAATGATAATGATAATGGTAATAATAATAGAGCAGCTGGTGATGTGGAATTGGAGGGACAGGGAAAGAATCTGAGTCACTGCATGTCTCCTTCCCTTCTCCTTTCTTTGTAAGCATTGCTGATGATAAATAATGACCGAGGCCTTGCGTTCTTCTTTTGCAGGACGGCTTCTACCACTTCTTCAACAAGCATGGCTCCAACGCGACTGACCATAACAGTACCATAAGCAACGCCATCATGGCGGCGGCCGGCTTTGGCCTGGCCGGCTTGGCCTTCCTCCTGGCTGTGCGATAAGGCGGCGTTGGTGGAGCTGGACGGACGGCAGGGCCGGACAACAGGCCGGCGAAGAGTCCATTCTATATTTCTACGAACGGTCGAAGACAGAAGCCTATTCTATACATACACATATATATTTTGTAACTGGTCGGAGCAGGACATTTTACATCCAGGGACAAAACGACAACAACAACAATGCAATGCCGTTTCATACGAAAAAGTGCGGAGAGTGGGCATCTTCGGGGGCTTGTGTGTGTGAGCTGCGGCTCGGCCGCGGTTCGTTCTGGGAAACCGCTGATTGTTGGATGCTAATGCTAGATGTTAGTAGTGCCTCAGTGACGCTGTGTGTGGGTTTCTTCTTAGTGTGTATGTGGCACCAGTGGGGGGGGGGGTCTGTGGATGTCTTTTGGGGAGGGGGGGTTCGGGGAGGGAGATGTTGCCTTGTGAAAAACGTGAGCCAGTATTAACACGAAGGAAGAGCGTACGAAACGGCTCAGGCCCAAAACCTTGAGCCGCTCGTCTATCTCGATGTATCGCTGCGAGGTCCAAATCGCACCGAAAAAGCATCACATGTTTTTGTTGTGTAGCGACAGTCAGTCTAAATTAACACTACAACGAAGGAGACAAAAATGTTGATACCAAAACAGTCGAGGCTGCAGAACCCGTTCTTTTAACTCAAGTGACTTTTAACGGTTGGAGGAAGAATAAAAAACAACACAACACAACCCCTTTTGGAAAAGGATTAAAATAATAATAATAATAATAGTAAATTGGTGTATTCGGAAGTCCATTGGAGGCTGGGCTTTCTGTGGATTTCCCGCCAGATCCAGACACTCCCTATAACTTAATATATTTTTGAAGTATTTATCATTGTATAATACTGGGTAGCTGGTTAACATCTATTTTTGTTAAATCCCATTTTTTAAAGAAAGGCTCTCAAACTGCTTTCTTGGCTGTATCCGTCTTATACTTAACAGTTCTAGTTTTTGGTATCTTCTATAATATTGTGTATTGTAAAAAAAAATTAGTCTTTGGAAGTGTTTGGATGTCCTTTTCTTTAGCTGGTACAGTTTTAATATTGTGAATAAACATAATGGGATATTTTTATTTTACACGAGGCTGCATTGCATTCTTTCCATGGGGATTTTTTTCAAGAGGCCCAAGAAATACCTGTCTCCCTTGACAACAAAATATCAATCGTCTTTTCGGGGCCGTGAAAAGAGTTTATGTGTTTGCAGTTATCTTATTCACATTTGCATGTTTTCGAACTGCTAGGTTGGCCTAACAGTGGGAGCTCACTCCACACCTTGGATTCGAACTGCCAACCTTTTGTCAGCAAGTTCAGCAGCTGCGCCATCATATATATGTATTATATATATATCAGGCATGGACTTAAGCGGCTGAGGAGGAAAAGGAAAGGGCCTGAGGCTGTTAGGAATGGTGGGAGTTAAAGTCCAAAACACCTGGAGGGAGAGCCCAAGTTTGCCCTTGCCTGGCTATTTGTCCGTCCATCCATGTGTCCATCTATCCATCCATCTATCCATCTGTCTGTCCATCTATCTATCCACCCATCCATCTATTCGTCCAGCTATCTATCCATGCATCCATCCATCCATCTGTCCATCCATCTAGCCATCCGTCCATCCATCTATCCATCTGTCTGTCCATCTATCTACCCACCCATCCATCTATTCGTCCATCTAGCCATCCATCCGTCCATCCATCCATCTGTCCATCCATCTAGCCATCCGTCCATCCATCTAGCCATCTATCCATCTGTCCTTCCATCTGTCCATCTGTCCCTCCATTTATCCATCCATCCATCCATTTGTCCATCTATCTATCCATCCGTCCATCCATCTGTCCATCCATCTATCTATCCGTCCGTCCATTCATCCATCTGTCCATCCATCTATCTGTCAATCCATCTGTCCGTCCATCCATCTGTCCATCCGTCCATCTATCTATCCATCCATCCATTTGTCCATCCATCTATCTGTCCGTCCGTCTATCTATCCGTCCATCCAGCCATCCAACCATCCATCCATCTATCCATCCATCCATCCATCCATCCATCCATCCATCCATCTATCCATCCATCCTATCCATCCGTCCCATCTGTCCGTCCATCCATCTGTCCATCTATCGGTCCGTCTGTCCGTCCGTCCATCTATCCGTCCGTCCGTCCATCCATCTTCCCACCCACCCACCCATCCATCTATCCATCTCTCTCTCTCTCTAAATATATATACATACAGTGTTCCCTCACTGTTTTGCGGTTTGCTTTCTGCGGACTCACTGTTTCATGGATAGGGTTGAGAATTAATATTTTTAATATATTTTTTATACATTTTGTGATTTTAAAACCACAAAATGTATAAAAATATTTTAAAAATATAAATTCTCAACCCCCTATCTGCTGTATATATATTCTGGGAAGAAGAAGCCCCCCTGCAAGCAGCATGCCGCAACGGCCCTGCTTGGCGGATAGTCACTTATCGCAGGAGGTCCTGGAACAGAATCCCCGCGATAAGTGAGTGAACACTGTATATATCTCCATGTATATCCAATCATTGGGTATCTCTTAACCAAAATGCTTAGGATCAGAAGTGTTTGGGGTTTTGGAATGCCTGTGTTTGCATACACATCTCTAATGAGATACCTTGGAGGCAAGACCCAAGTCTGAACACGAACATTCATTTTTTGTTTCATGCACACCTTGAACACATAGCCTAAAGGTAATTTTATACATACCATTTTACATAATTTTATGCCTGGAACAAAGTTTCCATACAGTGAATCGTCAGAAGGCAAAGGGGTCCCGATCTCAGCCACCCACTTGGAGTGTTGCTCAACCCATAGTTATTATTTATTCATGCCCTATGGTAAAGGGTAAAGATTTTCCCCTGACATTAAGTCTAGTTGTGTACAACTCTGGGGGGTTGGTGCTCATCTCCATTTCCAAGCCAAAGAGCCGGTATTGTCCGTAGACACTTCCAATAATAATAGAGTCCCAGTCAGGGTTGGCTTGACGCACCTTTCTCTTGGCACGTTTCTCCCTTTTGCCTTTCATTCGTGCTTCTTTTAATTCCGCACCACTGCTGGTCACAGCTGACCTCCAGCTAGAGCACTCAAGGGCGAGGCCTTCCAGCTCTCCACGTCTATGCCACAGTTTTGAAGGTTAGCTTTAAGCCCCTCTTTAAATCCCTTTCTTCCAATATATATTTATTTATTTGTCTTGTCAGGACAACCAGTCATATTATATTACATTTCTAACAGAACAAAACAAACAGACAGAATACACAATTTGTAGTTTGGTAGTTGATTAAATGTCCTTTGACCAGTATCTGGCTACTTGGAGTGCTTCTGGTGTTGCTGCAAGAAGGTCTTCCATTGTGCATGTGGCCTGGCTCTGGTTGCATTGCAGCAGGTGGTCAGTGGTTTGCTCTTCTCCACACTCACATGTCATGAATTCCACTTTGTAGCCCCATTTCTGAAGGTTGGCTCTGCATCTCGTGGTGCCAGAGCGCAGTCTGTTCAGGACCTTCTTCTGTGTGCCCAGGGGGGAGTCTCTCATTTGGTATCAGCCATTGCTTGAGGTTCTGGGTTTGAGCCTGCCACTTTTGGACTCTCGCTTGCTGAGGTGTTCCAGCGAGTGTCTCTGTAGATCTTAGAAAACTATTTCTAGATTTAGGTCGTTGACGTGCTGGCTGATACCCAAACAAGGGATGAGCTGGAGATGTCTCTGCCTTGGTCCTTTCACTATTGGCTGCTACTTCCCGGCGGATGTCAGGTGGTGCAATACCGGCTGCAGTGTAATTTCTCCAGTGGTGTAGGGCGCAGACACCCCGTGATAATGCGGCATGTCTCATTAAGAGCCACATCCACTGTTTTAGTGTGGTGAGATGTGTTCCACACTGGGCATGCATCAATATATATTGATCTACTCACATTTGCTATAAGATAAAAGTTTTCTCCTGACATGAAGTCCAGTTGTGTCTGACTCTAGGGGTTGGTGCCCATCTCCACTTCTAAGCCAAAGAGCCGGCATTGTCCAAAGACACCTCCAAAGTCATGTGGCTAGCACGGAACATCGTTACCTTCCTGCAGAAGTGGTATCTATTGATCTACTCACATTTGCATGTTTTTGAACTGCTAGGTTGGCAGTTGCTGGGGTATATAGGGTAGTTTTATTGCTCTTGAGGTGCATCTCCTATCAGTTCTGCACTACATAAAGCCGTGATGGGGAGTCATCGGACTGACTTTGCCAGGAACTGTCCAACCCTCCTCTAATCCATTCCTGGAAGAGGAGTGAAACCTGAACCTCCTTCTTCCTAATTCACAGCTTATCTGAGCTCCCAAGTCTGGCCTCCACATATGTTTAGCTGCACCTGCTTCTCCATTTGTGTGTGTGTGTGTGTGTGTGTGTGTGCGTGTGTGCCAAGGTCATGTGGCCGGCATGACTGCATGGAGCGCCATTACGTTTTATCTATATAAATAATAAAATGTAATGTTAGTTCGTGCTACCATCAGAACTCAAAAACCACTAGGGGAATTGACACCAAATTTGGACACAAGACACCTAACAGTCCAATTTATGTCCTCCACTCAAAAAAATTGATTTTGTCATTTGGGAATTGTCGTTGCTGGGATTTATAGTTTACCTACAATCAAAGAGCATTCTGAACTCCACCAATGATGGAATTGGGCCAAACTTAGCACACAGGGCTCCCATGAATCCACAAATATTCCATATGCCCAAATATGAACACAGATGGAGTTTGGAGGAAATAGACCTTGACATTTGGGAGTTGTAGTTGCTGGGATTTATAGTTTATCTACAATCAAAGAGCATTCTGAACTCCACCAATGATGGAATTGGGCCAAACTTAGCACACAGGGGTCCCATGACCAACAGAAAAAACTGGAAGGTTTGGTGGACATTGACCTTGAGTTTGGGAGTTGTAGTTCACCTACATCCAGAGAGCACTGTGGACTCAAACAATGATGGATCTGGACCAAACTTGGCATGATAATCAATATGCCCAAATGTGAACACAGATGGAGTTTGTGGGAAATAGACCTTGACATTTGGGAGTTGTAGTTGCTGGGATTTATAGTTCACCTACAATCAAAGAGCATTCTGAACTCCACCAATGATGGAATTGAACCAAGCATGGCATACAGGACTTCCATGACCAACAGAACACACTGGAATGG